CTATAGTAAATACAGCTGCATTTGCTTAAATGACAAGGAATTAAATCAACCTGCTATGTTCACTTTTATACTTATCAGATGACCTGACCCCATCTTATCCTTCTCTGAAGGTACAGTGAACTGCCTCCCTGAGTGCTGGGATGCTGTCCCTAAGCTATGGCGTTGCGTGTGGCCATCTGAAGCCATGGAGTTCATGGATGGTGCAGAAGAAAATGCAGATGCTTCAGAACACCCTTCAGGAACTCAACCTCCATTTCCTCTGCAAGCCCTGTGCCAGACATGCAGTGGCTTACCACTGTCCAGAGATGTCTTTGGACATTTTATACTCTGTCATATCCTGTAAAACCCAGAGCTAAGTGTGTCTTATTTTAAAGGTAGCAACACTACACATGAGAAGCTGCCTTGTGGTACCATTCAGGTTATATCAGGGAATTTCCAGTAGGGAAACCCTTATGGAAAAATTAGATCCACCACTGAGGCATACAGGAAAGAGCATTCTTTTAATCTTTGGCCTGTTCTCTGTGTAACAGAGCAAGTCTTGAGACGTGTGTGAGCAGCCTGAAACCCTATGGTCAAAATTATCTCCAATACATCTGACAAGATAACCACCCTTTTCAGTCTTTTGTTTCACTGGTGCAACATGAATCGGATTTGTGTTGTTTTCACAATGTTTCTGGTTTTGTTTTGAATTTGTTTCTCAATACTGCTGGTCTTTTCCAGGTATGACACAGCAGACTGAAAGGACAATGTTTTGTTCACTGGCAACCCGGTAGGTTTCCTATCTTTTCTAGTACAGTTAAATTTCTTACGCTATGGTCCTATGAAATGGCTTGACCTGCTTTCAGCTAGTTAAATAACCATTTGATGGGATGTGAGAATGACAGGAGTCAGGAACAAGGTAACAGTCTGTGAGTGGGCCTCATCTGTCCTGCTACACTGACACACAAATGTTTTCAAGGGGAACGAAATGCCACACATTTTGGAACCTAAGGCAAGAAGTGACCTGGGCTGGGTTTCACATGGGAGCAGAGATTTCTGTTTTGGATGCCACTGGCTATGTTAGACGAGTGTTTGTCGCTTTGGTACTTAGTAGAATGTGGAAGAAACCACAAAGAATCCTCCACTAAAGGGAGAAATGACGTGTGTGAACGGGGAGCCTTAGGCCTCTGAAAAGAAAAAAATCTACCTCCTCTGTTTTGTAAGGCAAACGATCTCAGAATTAAAGTTACTTCAGGCTGACAGAGTAGCCAAGAGCAGGAACTGGAGACAGTGATGTTTTGCACAAACTTTAAGACTGCAGTGGGTATCCATCGGGACAGTCACAGCACACAACTGTAGAAATGCCTCGCGCAGACCAGTGATTAGGTTTGTTCTCTCCGCAGCCACCTTTCACAGTAGCTGGATCAATTGGCTGTGCACACACTGGGGCTGCTTTTCATTTTACTTTCAAAAACATACAGCAACACTTGTAGGGTGACTGCAATTTGAGTAGTGCTACTTATTTAGAAGCACCATTTTGCTATTACCTAATCAAAAATCTTTATTCTCTGATGCAAAATGCGTTTTAAATAAATAATAATATTTCAACTCTGAGCTCCCTGTAAAATATCTTACATTAATGAAATTATACGTATCAAGTGCCAGTTCTATGACAGCTCTAACAGCACAGACAAGAACACATTGTGAAGGAAAACACACCAGGTTTTTGTCACCCAATTTGGTTGTTTATAAAGCAAGTCTTTGTGCGAAAGAGAATTCTGGTTTCATAGTTTTTTGGTTTAAATACAAATGTCATTTCAGCCTCTGCTATTACTTCATCACACACCAGGAAACCGCGTGCGGGCACACATCCATGGTGGCAGGATATGTATGGCTGACCTGTTCTCATGTTGTGCTGTGGTAACTGCGTATCAAATACAGTAAGATTTTTGCATAGGCAGTGCTGAACCCAGCATCCATAGTTCCCATTTGAAATGAGCCTGTTACTAAAGAACGAGTTCATCTGAAAACAACAGGATGGCTTCAGTTTTCCGACAAATTTTAGTCAACCGAGGAGTAATTGATCTGTGCGCCACTTTGCTAATGTGCGCCTTAGACCACCAAGCTTAACGGAAGACCACACCAGGTGAAATTTAGATTGAAGCATAGAAGACATCTAAAGACGCTTGCATATTGTTTTCAAATTTTGGTTAGAAATAAACTGCATAATTTTTATGTATGTGTAGAAACATCCCACTCTGCTCTGATCTGCACAAAAGCACAGGTCTAAGACTTTCATCTAGAATTAAAATGGTCTCGGCTTTTGCTGTGGTTTTGAAGTGATTTAATTTTGTTTGGAAGCATTTCCCCAGCGTGTGCGCTGAGTTTACTAGCACTGTCCTGACCTTGGAGATGGTGTGATATTTTATGGTGTGCAGTGACATTTATGTGCCCAACTTGGCTCCAATAAATAGGTTAATTTCCACAAATTAAATGCCAGGTTTGAAACATTACAAGGCAATTTAATAATTCTGTGTCGGCCTTTTGGATTCACAGTTGAGGCAGTTGACTGGGCAGTCCTTTGTCAGCTGCAAATCCACAACTGCTACACAATTTTTTCGGGTATAAAGGGTCAAACTAAAAGGGTTGGGAAAAGTAATAATCAGGTTTATAGTTTCACATATTCTTGAACAACAAAACCCCAAATACATGGATCAATTAACAACTGAACGGTTTATGCTGGAGGAATTAGTTCAGATTTTAGACAGTACTCCTTACACATCCCAAATCAGGCTGTATTAAAAGGTACCTTAAATGATGGAAAGTACAACAACTTCACGGTTAGGACAGAGTTAATATTCAGACATTGGGAATAAGATTCAGAAATGTCCAACTGTAGATCCCAGACAAAGAGTTTATTTTGGTTTTCAAAATCAAACCATGACTCTCATGGATACTGATTGCACTTCATACAAACATCTACTGGAAATGACGTGCCAGCTTTGGTTCTTTAATACAACGTTTTAAAAAAGCCCTGGTCTTTAAGCTCCCCTCTCCTTTGGCCTGAATTAATGTAATTTTGTTGCTACTAAACTACACATCAATTTTTACTATAACTGTTTATATAAATCAGACAAGGATAAGAGGATCTGTAAGTGACTGAAGAACCATGTGATAGAGATACAAACCTAGCAATGACAAGAAAGCACACTGATTTAAAATATTGTTCTTAGAATTATCGTGCTTGTTCAAAGAAGAGTTTACACATGTTACAGTTAGTAGCTAAAGTGCAATTTAGCTTAAATTTCCAGAGTCTGATTCCAAGTCATTCTTTATTCTGGTTTGTAAGCAATGTGTTTGAAGTTACTTCTGCTATGTATTCACATTCTTGGGCAATCTTTCCAAAGGATATGAGTCACTTCTCCATTATTTGTAAAGAATATGGAAAAAGTAAAATATTATTATTTTGTGGGCATTTGGAACTGGATGTAAAAAAAAATAGGTGGGATGTTGATCATTGTGAGTCATTTCTTGGGAAGAAGGAAAGAACAAACACTAGCTGCTGACCTACTGCTATGAAAGCCAAGGACTTACTGCTGACTCAAGGAGTACATATTGACAGCTGCAGAATACAAAGGGGATCTCGCAGCAGGATTAAAGCAGAAAGTCTTTCCTCTTTAAGCAATAAGGAGTTGTGAGGAGCTGCCTGTGTTGATTTCTTGGAGGCTGTTGTTTGTTTAAACAATCTTCTAGCTTAAACAGTTAGCCAACTCAAATTATAGCCTGCAAATAGTTGCTACAACCAAATGAGTGTCCTTCTGAGTTTCCAACAGTCCTGGCAAATCTTCAGGTAGGTACTGAAGTGCAAGACTGAACTCCATAGTGCTGAGGTAGCTACACCAGTAAATCCCAGTGCAATCTTCTACTCTGAGTCTTTCACCAGTCCTGGTTGGTATAAATATTGGTATAAATTCTGATGAGCTCATTAAAAAAACCTGGTTTGTTACCAGAACTGATTTTTCAAAGTGACTTCCTTTTGCTAAATGGCCTTTGTATGCTTTGTTTATACCAATCAAGCAGCCACACTGGGAAGTACTCACTCACTTAATGTGTGCAGCGACACAAATGACCTATAAAGCATGTCCAACACAAAAGACAGTGCATTTAATAATTATGACATAACTATACTTATGATTTGCCTGGGTTTTTTTCAAGCTGCAGTGGACACACTATGATGAAGCCTAGTAATTATCTTTTCTGCAGGTGTTTTTTTGTTTGTTTGCTGTGTTTTGTTTTTTTTAATGGGGAAAGCTTTTTCCAAATGTAGGGATGTAGTTCCATGGCAGCCTGAGCCAATTTAAGTCATGCTTATTACTCTCCTCTGTCTCTTCTCATCCCCTTTCTGTACAGGAGATGTATTTCTGCTAGCACCTGAGCAACTCCATAGTGAGCCAATTCAGAGTGCAGATTGCAAACTAATTCCAAACACAGGTTCCAGTACTGGTAAGTGCTGAATTGGGAATGAGCAGCAGTGTGGGACTGTCTGGAATATGGCAGTCTGTATTTATGTGTGAAAAACCTGCTGTGAAAATGAGTCTGAATGGACGCTTTCATGGAGAAACAATTATAAAAATGTGCTCTGTCATTATAAGTGTTTTAAAGACTTCCAATAAATAATTTAAAAATCATAGCCTTACGAATGCTAATAAAAGTAGTATCTACTCTGTGATCTTTATATGAGTTTATTCATTGTTACTTTTAAGTAAGCCTGGAGCAGTGTTAACAGCTTGGATGCCATAGATTTAAACAAATCAGGAAACAGGAAAATGCTACATTAATATGTTTGCACTTTACCAAAATAACTGTGGATGTTTACATAAATAATTTTTACAGCGTAAATTTTTGACAGTCCACTATAGAATGTTAGCTTAGGAATGCAAATGGAACTATGTGCGTAGCTGGTATTTCTTAATGTCAGTCAGAGGGTTCACACGGCCACTTCAAATCCTTGATAAAGGTACCTTTGCAGCTGTGGATTTGAAAACCACGTTCAAGTTCCAACCCTGGAACTGTTGATCTCCAGCCAATAAATCCCTGAGTAGTCTTAGGTATGGGAGGAGACGGAAACACCTAGAATAAAAGTAACAAGTACCATTAAATGATTAAAAGGTTTTTGATTGTGATTTCTGTCAAGCAACATCTTTTTTGCTGTAGTGTAGGATGGAAATGAGAACTTGTCAAAAATAGTGGTTCTAAATGCAAGCTGATTAATTAATATCCTGAACACACACTGACATTAATGGAAGGAAATAAGAACTTCGAAGGGTAGCCCAGTTGCATGCAAGTGTGATTTATAATACAGGATGGTTTATAATTTAAGAAGTCATTAGAATAATTTAGGTCCCATT